CCGGACTTAGTAAAGGTGTGAGTGTGCATTGTAGACACTACATTTTGAATGTTTGTGGATATTTTTTTTCTGAAATTTTTTGTATATGTAATGGAATTTTAAATGTTCTCCTCGATATATTTGAGTTAGGTAGTAATTTCAAAACTGGGGTCCAGTTTTCTCGGAGAGAGGGGTCATGTCACGAGTAGAACATTCAGTATATTAGTAATTTGTAACCATGAGGGTTTTATAAACATAAAAGTATTCAAATCATCAATTGACATTGAACTATGAAAACTGACCAAGGAACTCTCATGAGAAACGTGCATTTCTAATAAAATGATGTATATAAATATTGGATGTGAGGGTTCCGAAGTTAGTCTGGTCTGGGGCTACTCTTGACTTGACAAGAGCTTGTCGTAATGGTCGTTATAATGTAAGTTGTCATTAGGTCTTAATATTCATTGTTGTTTATTCATATTCATAATCACTTCACCCATAATGTTTCATGCTATTATAAATATTGTTATGTTTGAATGTAGTCTCGTACTTTCAGTTACCCCTAAACTATTAGTGCCTATTTGAATATTACCTCTCGCAAAATATTAAGCCAAGCATATTACCCCTTATAAATCGATATGAATGGACTTAACCATCTTTTTTATCGTAACATTGTGGTGACAACTCTTTTGTTGTGACATGGTTATTAATTAATATTAATTCATGGTGGGAAACCAACCCTTCTATCGTGACATACAACCCCTTATAAATCGATATAAATCGATATGGATGGACAGTAACCATCCATTTATATCGTGTAAGACAGTTTTCATTATTTTGTATTCAATATAAGAATGTGTTTTTATATGGGGCATCTGGCCAGGATATGCGAACGGTCCAGCATGCTAAAACTGGACTGCCTCGGTTTGATCTTCAAATGGGGCGTTCCTGGTAGTGCACACAGATAGGAATGCTAAAACCATCTGTACCCATACAAAAACTAAGTAAAAAATATTAATTCATTTTCAACAAAAAGAACTCATTTATTGTGACAAAAATAAGTAAAATAATATTCATTAATTTTCAATAACAAACAACCCTTTAACCATTTTGTTGTGACAATATTCGACTTCTGTGGTAGACAGACATACACTATGTTGTCTTCTACTACACCATGTTACAGGACCATTACATAATTGGAACAGGTAGCCAGTTGTAGATCGTCTGGTTTCCAAATCGTTGGCAAAATCTGAATCAGAGTAGCCTACAACCACACGCATTTCTTGATTATGATATTTTATCCCATAATTAACTGTTGAAATTGAATATCTGATGATGCGTTTAACAGCATTCCAATGCGACTTTTTGGGATTTGATAAATATCGACTAGCTACTCCTACAGAATACATTATGTCTGGTCGACTCACTACAGCTGCAAACATAAGCGAGCCAACAGCTTCCCTGTAAGGAACATCATCAGCTGGAAGGGATTCGTCAGGAACAGACAGATTTGTATGCTGATCTGCAAGAACTGATAATGGACATGCATCTTGAAGTTCGAAACGTTTGATTATTTTCTTTATATAACTCGTTTGATGAATAAACATGCTTCCATCAGCACATTTGACCATTTCTAAACCAACATAGTATCCAGGCTCAGAAACGGACATTTCAAAATTACTTTTCAATCCATTTATGACCATATCTATAACTGTTTTACTTTTAGAGAAAATTAGTCCATCATCCACATGTATGATTAGTAGAACGATGAAGTCATTTATTTCCGTTCTGTAAACACACTGATCAGCGTTACTACGGATGAAACCAAAACTTTCCAAGAAGCGATGAAATTTCTGATTCCAGCAACGTGGAGATTGTTTCAATCCGTATAGCGATTTTTTCAGTTTACAAACTTTATTGGATGAAACGTTGATACCGCTTGGTATTTTCATGTAAATCTCTTCATCGAGTTCGCCATATAGAAATGCCGTCTTTATATCGAACTGAATCATTTCATAATTTTGCTTCACAGACAAAGCTAGTAGGATACGAATAGAGTCGTACCTAGTTTTAGGTGAGAAAATTTCATTAAAGTCTGTTCCCTCCTTCTGTGCATATCCTTTGGCACAAAGTCTGGCTTTATAGCGAGAAATAGAACCATCTGGATTACGTTTTACTCTGAAGACCCACTTCGAATCAATTGCTCTCTTATCATGTGGAAGCTTTGTAATCTCCCATGTTCCATTTTTGTTGAGTGATTCCAGCTCGTCGTTGATAGCTTCTTTCCAAAATGTCTCTTCTTTACTATGCACGGCTTCCTCGAATGTAGTTGGAACACCTACTTCGATGAAGTTTAGCTCGAATTCATTGAATCTTTCTGGAGGTCTCATATTCCTTTTTGGACGAGGATTTTCTGGCTCTTGGGTTCGTTCATTTTCAAGGATCTCTATATCTGGAGGATTATTTACAGGTATTACAGTAACATCTTCATTTTCGTCATAATCAACAACGATAGGCACTGTATTTGATATCGAGTTGAAGCCTTTGACCTTTTCGTTGAATATAACATTTCTTGATATAGTTATTTTCTTTGTATCAGGATCAAAAAGTCTGTAGTTTGTTGAATTTCCTTCATATCCAACAAATATCAGTTTTTTACTTTTGGGTTCCCACTTACTTCGTTTTTGGTCTGGAATGTGTACATATGCCTCACAGCCAAAAACTCTTACATGAGACAAACATGGCTTCTTGCCAGTCCATAATTCATACGAGGTAGAGTTGGTAGCTTGAGTGGATGGAGTACGGTTCAGTATATACACAGCTGTATTTACAGCTTCAGTCCATAAATAATTTGGAATATCAGCACAATGTAACATTGAACGAGCCATTTCCACGACTGTTCTATTTTCTCTTTCAATTCTGCTATTCTGTTCGGGCGTATAAGGAGCTGTTTTTTCAATTTCTATCCCATTCACTTTTAAATATTGATTGAAATTTTCATTACAATATTCAGTCCCATTATCTATATGTAGAACTTTCACTGGATATCCAAATTTAGTTTTTGACCAATTACAAAATGTTTTAAAGCAATCCAAAACATCCGATTTGTGTTTGAGGAAATACACCAACTCGATAACCAGAGAAATCGTCATTGAACATTACGAAATATCTACAACCTTGAACAGATGAAGTAGCCATTGGACCAGACAAATCACTATGAATCAGTTCTCCTGGTTCGTTCTTTTTCACATGAGTAGTTTTCGGAAATGGCAGTCTGTGTTGTTTTCCATATGCACACCCTTCACAAAAAAAGTTTTCAGTATCAACACTTGCCAGTTTGACATTTTCTACCAGTCCATTCGACATAACTTCTTTGACATATTTTGCATTGATATGTCCGAGACGTTCGTGCCACAGTATGATATTATCTTCAGTCACAATGTTTATCTGGATGTTTATTGTACGAAATAACATTCGATAGAGATTATTTGACTCACGAACTGCACAGGCGACTAATTCATCATCAAGCTAGATTTCAGCTTCATTATATTCTTTTATTATCTTCATTCCCTTTTTCGTTAATACACCTTCCGAAAATAAACTCTTCCGGAGGTCAGGAATGTAAAGAACATCATTTATTGTAGATTCATACCAAATTCCATTTATCAATTTTTGTATTTTGACTATGCCCTTGCCTCTAACAGTCAAATTCTGATTATTTCCTAATACAACTGAATAGGCCTTATTGTCTTCTTCAAAATACGAGAAATACTCTCCTCGGAAGGTCATATGAGCAGATGCCCCGCTATCCATTATCCAAAAATCTTCACCATATTCAATTTGATTACAGGATGTTATTTCCTCTGTATTGAATGCTGTTGCCATACTCTTACTGGAACTAGAGTCATTTTCATCTTTTGAATTGTTATTCAAAACTCTTGGTCTTGTTTCATGATTCTGTTCTCTCTCTTGCATCTCTCTCCATTCTTTTGCTCTACAATCTCTAGCTAAATGTCCCCTTTTACGACAGAAATAGCACGATATATTAGGAGTTCTCACTATATTAGATTTGTTATTGAGAGATAAAGCAACAAGAGCAGTATCCATCTCTTCATATGATGAAAGACTTGCTTCTTCATCCAGAAGCCTTGCAGTTAGATTCGGAATAGTTTGCCTGTTTGCTTCTAGAGATAACCAAGCTTGACGCAAATTCCTGTATTTCATAGGTAGAGAACTGAGAATCTTGGTCATAACTGCAGCTTCACTTATAGTTTCACCAGCTTCTCTTACTTCTCGAGCAAGATTTTCGACTTTTGCAATATGCTGTGCAATGGACTCGTTTTGATTCATTTTATATTGGTGGAATCTTTCATGAATATAGAATCCAGTTTTTCAATGATTTCTTTAGAAGTATTGCAATTTTCCACTAAAGTTTTTTGCGTTAAATCCATAGCTGTGGTGAGAGTGAACATCGCAACTGCATCATTTTTTAACCAAGTCTCCAATTGTTGAGTTTCAGCAGGTAGCGGTATCTCAATGCTTCCATCAACTATTCCAAAGATCCCTTTGGCTCTGAGAGCGCATTTTATCTGGAACTTCCACTGTTGATAATTTCTGCCGTCGAACTTGTTGATGTTTGCGACATCAATTTTATCTGCCATTGTATAATTATTACTCCAAATCTACACAAGAAACTGATTCTTTGATTACAACTGAAGCGTTGAAACTAATTCACTAAATACGCTAGCAGCACAGCTTCTTTCTTCTGGTTAGTGACCTGGGCCCATAACCTCTTGAGGTTTAATGAATCGATTGAAAGAAACTGATTTGGAGTCCTGATATATATTATGAATGAATATTCTTGATTACAATTATATATTCAATTGATTGACATACATTTATTTTTCAACTGACAGTTTTTATCAACAACTATTTTTCTTTTTTCATCTATAACAAAAGTAATCATAAGCTACTGCAATTACATGGATATTGGGTGTTGCAAAATAATAAAACACATCAACATGAATCATACGGAACCATCAACGGCTGACGCTACGAAAACTCATAACACGCATCATGAAATGAAAAATCTCGAATATCTTCTTTTCCGGGAATTCGACCTCGCTACCTACCCACGGTGGTGGCCCGTCTCATCATTAATATTCATTTTCTTTTCAGTCCTCCAGGCCTATACGTAGACAAAAAGAGATAACCTCAATAACTCCTAATAACCCTAATGATCCTAGATCTCCGTTCTACAATGAAGATGGTGAACCCATCAACCCGATAGCAAAGCTGCACTTCACGAGGCAGAGGGTATATGAGAAACCATGTGAAATTCTCGAAAATGAAGATGAAGACCATACAGATAATAACCTCGAGCTTTCAGGTGAGTGCTATTGGAGAATATCATTAAAATGTAGAGTAATGATATGTAGTTATATATAAGTAGATAAGCTATGGGGATTCTGGACCAAAATCCCATGTATTTTCTTATGAAGGTTCATTCTGGTCAAAAATGAACATTTCTCGGACAGGTGAGCAATCTTGGCGGCTGATGGTGGGACGGATAATGTGAATGGGTGGGGCTTATTTATTGATCTTGAAGATGTTTCTGGGAGGATGTTGAACATTTTCACGGTACTTTGACTAAAAGAGTGTCTATAAACTGAGTATCATGATGTAAAATGAGTGAGAATGGAATAGCACTCTATCAGAGACCTAACTCTCCATTGATTTCTATCTCAGAGACGGCTCAAGTACATATCAGTACGTCAATTTGGAGTTTGATAATGAGTCGATAGTTTATATATTTCACGTCATTGAGATGAAGTAGGTATCCAAGTTGATGTAAGCTACGACTTGAATGTCGAGGATGAGTAAATATGCGTCTTCTTGTGACTGATATCATCTAATAGTAGACTGAATATTCTTCAAATGAGGTTGATGTTTCAATGATAATTCGAGGATATAATAAGTAAGATAGTATTTGACAATCATATAATCAATTTATCCATATTATTGGCAACGTATGCTCCAGCTGATGAGCTAGAAGAGTTGATTGCCCATTGATATAACAGAGTAATTCATGTACCAGGTCCTGAGAATTTGGATTGAAAAATTCAATATCGGATATATCTTCCGTCACTAGCCACATCATTGAAAAAGGTAGGGTTACAAAGGTGACAGATTATTTGAGAGGAATATGTCTATTCAGCATACATTAATTTCGTGCCTATTTCATGAAAATCAGGACATTGAAGAGGGTAAGGATATGAATGAAACTAACGATTTTGATTGAATATATCTATTTAGTATAGTTCGATGTTTTACAGAAATTTGCGGTTATATTCTAAAATAATGATTATACAATAACAATGTTGAGATATCTACAAGCTGAATCACAATGTATGGAATATGAGAATTATTTTACTACTACCGAAAAAATATAGGTATAATATATATATATATATATACAAATATAAATCAGACATTAAATATGGTTTGACATAGCTTCCATTTCAAAAATGATGAATTGACAATCACACTGTTGAATAAATATAAATAATGAAATATAACATGGACTAACATTCATTGTACAAAGTAGGTGGGGTATTATATTTCCATTATAGCATAATGTCCCCACGGAAGAGTATTGAATGAATCCTTAATAAGGTACCTTTTATCATCATACGGACTTAGTGCAATTTTCCGCTGTGTAATCGAGTGAACAATATGGTTTTTAGATTTTATTAAATTTTGCTCAACCATTTTTTCAACAGAATTTTCGAGACAAGTGACATAATCCTCATATGTTATTTTAGTTTTAACTACCGATCTCTTGACCCCTTTGGCTTTCTTTGTTGTACCGATATTCGATAGAGTCGTAGCAATTTCATTTGAGCAGAGACCTTGATTCTCGCTAGTCTCTTCCGTTCACTTTTTTCATCCTCCTCAGATTTAAGTAGTTTAATTGTATACTGTTTCGACCTCAGACCAACAAAATCAGTGATAATTGTTCCACTACTCTCATCCTTGAGCTTACCCAATACCTTTTTGTTGACACGGGGTATACCATAGATGTTATCTGGTGAATAATCAGATGTATCGAAATGATGATGACAGTCTCGCTGAATTACTTCATACACATCCTTGTTACGAATTTTATATATTAATGAATCAGTGTCAGTATAGAGAACAGAGCAATTATCACCAAATTCTTGGGTCATATACCCATAATGGAAGTCATATAAGGTTGTTTTAGCGATATCCAGAATGCACATGCCGACATAGATTGGTTTATCAAAGTAAATCTCTGTTTTATTCAGTTCAATAGCAACTAAATTTTCTTCAAAGATTGTTGAGGACTTGAACTCTGGTTTTGATATCAACGCTTCAGCCGCATAACGCCCTGCCCACTTGTTTACCAATTTCACGTTAGAATGTTTCCGTATATTCTCCATTGTTTTGCCAAAGACCGCGTTATTCATGAATTTGAATAAATTTTTTTCAAATTCATTCTCAGCATGCTGTCTGAGATACGTATTCAATTCAATATACGATTTCAACCAAGGACATTGGTTGAAACTGATTATCCTATGGGTTTTTGTTGAGACAAGACCATTAGACAATGCCTGCTTCAGATTCCGATATTGCATGACATACTTTTTCTTATTATATACAGTGGCCAAAAGTTTCTGTTCTTTAGAACCAGGTGCGCAAAGATGTTCAGGGCAAAATGGCAAATCACTATGTCTATCATGTAGTTCATGCGGATAATGAAGATCAACTCCCAGTATATAACCAACATCACTATTATCTGGAACTGAAGTGACATCGAAATTTGCCACGTCCTCTATCCATTTGAAATTACCCGTTGGTAGATATTGCGACATCGCCCAAACATATTGATTGTTTACATCAAAATACATAGGGTATGAATCTGGTGAAGATGGATCGAAATTGAGCATATATTTATTATTGGCTTCACTTTTCCGTTTGGAAACCCCACTCAAACCACCGCGTATTCCACGTTCGATAAACATTAATTGATCTATATCAGTCAGCAACTCCAAATTTATACCGGTATGCTTGAGCATGCAATCCCAAGTGAAACCGGGGAGAGTATAATAATGGGCGGGGTCAAGTTTATAGGTATTATGACAACTTTTCCGGAATTGTTCAAAAATTTCGGCTAAAAGCATAACATCAGTTTTGAGGTATAAATCAGAGTATTCCCCTAAATTCTGGCATTCAAATTGTTTCCAAACCTCGTGAGCATGCGCATACTGTTCTCTAGAGATATTTTTATCCTCTAATTTATTATAAAATGCATCTCTAGATGATGAAACATTCTGATAGAATTTATCAAATGAGTCTACGAAATCGCCTTTTTTCTTCAACAAATCGAATTGATTGTTATTCAAATCAAGAAATTCGGAAACTCGTCCAAATATGATACCAAAGTACTGAGCGCCGAATTCATGAATCTCAAGGAGTCAATGAACCTGAACTTAATAAGGCTATCATTAAGATTTTTGGTAAATGAGATGTAGTTTTCCTTCGTGATCGGAAGTAGGTCAACGCGACCTTCCATGTCAGAAGCAATATTCTTAATTATGAAATGTGCATCATAACGAGATAGGTTATGATAAACTATGGGAACAGTATGACTGTCCTTGAAATTTATGTTACAACTTTCATGTGAAGGTCCACGATAATTTTTTTTCGGGGTGAGATGGAAATGATCCCTTATTTTCTTGTCACCTTCTATAAATGGTTTGTCACAAATATGACATTGTGTTGCTCTATCAAAATCGACTTGCTCTTCGGGGCTCAAAGGATCCATGTCATAAGGACATAAAAAATCGGTTTCTAGATCAACAGCAAATTGTGTTAATTCCCTAGCAAACCATTGTGCACAATCCGCACCACGATAAGACCTATAAAATGATAGGGAGTCATCATAGGAACACTTAACATAGTATCCTATACTACATGGGGCATGCTCCTGATAATTTTGATCATGAACAACGGGTTTGAGTATACATTCCAGATCAGAATAAATGATGAATGGTGCGATTTCTTTGTTTTTATAATTTTTGAACTGCAACATCTTGTTTTCTTCAGTAAGTAGCCTCATTTTGCACTCATTCATCCTCACATAATCCTGAGTATGTTTCTTCAAACCCGAATCTGTATAGAAATAGTTGAGACAGCGATCACAAAAATATTTTTTACATCTATGTTTACTCAGTTGAGAGGAAACTAAACGTGACAAGTCCTTGATCCACACATAATGATAATGTATGGTAGATATTGAATCATTATGATCAACATCATCATCATCATCAAAGTAATTATTTTGGATTAGTAAAAGATTAACGTGCTTTTCATTCTTGTCCTTGGTTAGGTAGGTTGGGAGCGTGATGAAACCCTTCTTGATTTTCTTCAATATGTACACATTGATAAAAATGTTGTTCTGTTTCTCGAATCTTGGAATCTGCTTAATCGTCATCGGAGACTGGATACCTTTGAGGTTGAACACCTTGGACGGATGGGGGTATGATGACATTCTATAACTATGTTTTGTTGGGAACATTGCCGATACCACAGACCAAGTGAAACAATCATTGTCATCATTTTTAATGTTGATACATGCTTTCTTTCTCCTGATACTTTCTGGAAGCTCAATATATGAGGATCCCTATTGCGGTGTGAATTTGTTGATACCCACTTGTAGATTCATAATACTCTCAAGTGCCCAACCTGAATCTCGCTCTTGAAATTCGCTTAGATTTGCCAACAGCTTATCCTGAACATAAGCAGTAAACCAATCCCTCAAATTTGTATCTCTATATATTTGAGCATTGGGTGTGTTCAAATATTTCAATTCCCGTATCTCATCGTCACCTCTTTTTTTAACAAATTCACCACAGAACGTCATGTTGACTTTGAGAGCCTCCTCCTTTTTCAAAGTATTCTGAATTCTACGGCGAAATAGTGCTTCACAGTCGATTAAAAATTCAGTGACGTCCTTATGACACCTGTCCTAATACGAGAATTGAAGGCCGATGCACTGTCCTGCCAGGACATTCGGTGTTTCGCAGTTTCTGATTTTTCAACAGCATGCCCGGAACCTTGTACACGAAACATTTTGAATTTATGTCGCAAACTCTTCACAGTAGACAACGCTGTAGTTAGATGCTGCTTCTCGCTAATTTTGGTACTATTTTTCAATTCCCTCGTAATATGTCTAACTGTTCTCGTACATTCCTTGAGGCCATCTGATGCCACAGCTCTATCATGATGAACCAAAAAACGATCGAGAAAAACATTAATCTTGGCAATGAGAGAACTTGTCAAAGACATCTTTACTGTGCAAATAATATGCGGAATATGATATTTCTTGTCAATTATTTACCACCGCTACTTATACCAAAATGTGAAGTCTCTGTCGGCGAGGTGTAGGTGATCTGAAACAATGAACTATTTTACTATGATATAGATAGCTATCGAGATTATGAGCCAATGAAGAAATGTACCTGATGTAATATCGAATATCAGATAGTGCGAGAC